ATTATCGAATTCGATAATTAACTAAAGGATAAATAAACGTCAGTATTAGATTGAAATTGGAAAATCGGAAACATCCGAGAGCTCCCGACTTTTCTCGATCTTCACTTCATTTAAGCTTCTTACAGTACTTTTCTATTGCTATTTATTTTTAGTTTTTATATTTTTCTCATATTTCATTTACACAAAATTTTCAAAAAAGTTTTTTTGCGCCAGTGTGTGGAGATCTACTAATATTAGTACCATATATTTATAGATTAATAGTTAATATTAGTAAATATAAATTATCTAATAATATCAACTATTTTTTGTTTCTTAGTAGATGTTTTGGATAAAGCTCAGAATTATCCCAAAAGATCAACTTTTACATTTTATTACTTTAATTTTTTTTTTAAATTGAAATGAAATAAAATGAAAAAATATTTTATTATTCTGGGACTGTTGTCCCTTTAGAACAAATTATAAGTACAGATTGTATGTCTTTGTGGTTACAATTAGATTATATATTTACAATAAGAGTCGACTAAAAATAAAAATACTAAAGAAGAGAAAGAAAACAACAAGAAAATTGTACATATATATAAGAAACTAAAATAAACTAAATAAATTGAGGTAGTTTCTGGGGTGCATAGATATTTCTCTTAAGTATATTTTGCAATCAGTCGGATTGAGAAAGGAGTACGTGATTAAAGAGGAGAGGTTTGAAAGAGGAAACTGATTGAGCGTGTCGAATATCAGCTGGGATGGAATTCCAGAGGGAGGCGGCTTGTATTACAAAGGATTTGCCAACCGCAGCAGTTCAGTGAGGAGGAGGATAGAGGTCGGAAGTACGAGATCTAGTGGGACGGGATTGGATGAAATATTTGAATTGTAAGCTGTGAAAAATATGCGGGGGTCGATGAGTTCTAATGTTCTGGTACCGAAAGGTGGCTAGGAACTACTGACGGCGATAGGATGGGTAGAGCCACCTCAACTCAGTGTAATACTGGGTAATATGCTTATCCCTTGAGATTCCGAAAACAAATCTTAGTGCGCGTTTAAGTTTGCCCTCGGAATCTTCCGAGTGTCCACCGTACACCATACAACCATAATCGAAGTAGGTTAAACAAAGCAGGAAACTAGGAGTTGACGGGACTTGTACGGAAGGAGATATCGTAGACGATTGAACTGTTTTAGGGTGGAGATAGTGCGACGGAAAATTTGGGAGATGTATGGTTTCCATGACAGGGTTTTATCAAAAGTAACATCTAGGTTTTTAACGGTGGTGTGGAATAAGATAGGTGAGTTGTTCAGGAGAAGATTGGTGGATACCGGGGAGGATTTGAGGAGTGAGGGAGGATCCGATCAAGATGGCTTTTGTCTCCTCGGCGTTCAGAGTGAGCCTGTTGAGGTTTGCCCAAGCACTTATTCCTATAATAATATAATTGTGTTAATAATTGTTAATAATTATGTTGGTCAACTAGCTATTATTTTGTAGTTAGAAATATTCTTATATTTCTTTTAATATTTTGAAACCTGGACAATTTGTTTATATGAAAATTATATTTTTTTAATGATTGTGATATACTATCTATAATTTTTATTTTTGATTCTATATAAATACCTAAATATGAAAATATTTCTACTCGAGGTAGGATAGTAAGTGATGCGCGCTTCGCACCGGATTTCTCGTCGTGAAATGTTTACACGTAAAACGTACTCGCATTTTGAATGACGTCCACTGCGTAAAAGACGGAGTATTTGCATATGACTTGTTGGTTCGTAGTGTATAATAACTGATCGTGCATTGGCGCCAACGATAATATTATCGGCTCGTTACAACTGACTAGCTAACGAGGCACTAGAAGGACGTAAACAAATCCACAACGGCGATAACGAAACAAAACGATTAATCTTCCGTCAATAAAAGGTCCTTGAGTGACCTTTGTTAGGTCGATGGCAGCTCTAGCCTTGGACGACTCCCCACCTGTTATTGTTTTCGACTCCTTCGCATTGATTTTATTATTCTTTTTGACAAATTGAGCCGTTCAGTTTCAAAACCAATTATCTTCGTTTTTGTAAATTTTACAGAGCTGCTTGGAAATAAAAAAAAAAAAATTGTTTTTTCGAAATTATTGGTAGTTAGTGAAAACTTTTTTGTCAGTATCAGTATACGGGGAAAAATCGGAACGAAATAGGGTTTTGTTTTCATTTATATAATCTGCCAAACCCATTTGGTTCTGGGTTTTTTTTTCGTAAGAAATAACTAATAAAAAATAGTTATTTTTATTTATTAGATAATATTGTTATATTAAGAGATATTGATACAAGAGATATATTGACTTGTTTCCATAAGCAGTTCAGATTTTCGGTAGCTCAATAACTTAGAATGAGACAATTAAGTACTAGTTGTTTTGTTTGTTTCGATGTCAAGGCGCAAAACATCCAGGTCATCAACACCCGATCAACTATATAACACTTCTTTTATACTGATCAGGTGGTTGGTACAACAAATAAAAAAAAAAACAGAATAAAGATAAAAAATAAATAAAAGAATTAATAGAATAAAATAGTGCTCTCGATCAATCTCCGCTGGCTTTAGTACCAGTGACGCGGTTGAGAGAGTAGCGCAGGGTTCTCCTGGAGTTCCCTCGCCTGTTTGTATATAGGTATGCATGTTTTTTTTTTGCTTAGTTTTAATTTTCTTATTTTTTAGGTCATTTTATTTTATTATCTATTGTATATACTTTTGATTATTATTTTGTTTCTATTTATTTTTTTTTTTGTACATATAGTGTGAATGTCATCTTACCTCACTATAAACAATGTCCAAGAGACAGATTGTTGGAATACTCAATAAAGAAATAAAAAAAAAATAGAATAAAATAAATAAATAATGATAATAATAGACACTTATAGATAGCAAGATATAATAGATAAATAAATAAACTTAAAAAAAAATAGCAATAAAATCAATAAATAAATTGAAATTAATAAATCAATGAACTTTTAAAAATAAATAAATAAATCTACAAAGGATCATTACTTACAAACTTGTTATATATGTTTTATAATTTTTTGATTGTCTAGGAACTTCATAACTCTGGTAAGGATTTATTTTTTATTTCCCAGGGATGTTGATACATTCTGGAGTATTCCAAGGATCTTTTAATCTTGCGGTGTAAAAAGGAACTCATCCAACTATATGTTTTATAGTTAATGGCTGGTCACACTTTTGACATCTGGGGATAAGATTTTTTGTTATGAGGTAGAGGTGTGTCGGTCTAGTATTCCCGATCATCAACCGCGTGAGGACGACCTCTTCTCTACGACTGCTGCGTCTTTAATTTGCTAGATGCGCTGTTGTCCCATCGTCTTTGCCATTCTTGGGATAAGGTTTCTCTCAGAGGTTGTGCAAGGTCAGATGGTGTCAAAAAAGCTTTACCGCGGGCTGGAAGGGTAAGAGCTTCTTTTGCTGCTCTATCAGCCATTTCGTTTCCTTTAATGCCTATATGGCCAAGCAAAAATGGTCTGGACACATATTGTTCATGGCTTTCAGAGTACTTAGGGAATCCGATACCACAACCACATTTGCAACTGACTTCTTCATGACGTATCGGAGACTCATTGTGACGGCGTTGATCTCTACTGTGTAAACGTACTAGTTATATTCTGATATATTTCTTATCATTGGTCATTTATTGAGGTTATTGTAGATTCTCGGTGATGATTTCTCTTCTGCGTACATCCTATTGTTGGTATGAAATTTTTGTCTAATTATTATAGATATTGTTGATCACCATCATTTACTTGTAAATTAATTTACTAAACTTCTTTTATCACAGTCATAGCTATTCTTTTCGAGTTCTCTTGTTTGCTTACCAAGACAACTATATCTGTGGTCTGCAAATTCAAGTATTTTATGATTCATTCCGATGTCCACCCCCCCCCCCCATTTTCAGGTGATGTAATTCTTATTACCTTCTTCAGTGATAACTGGAGCAGCATCATACTGCTTCTGGGATTCGACGTTTAGTGTCTTTCGTACAAGTCTTCTACTTCCCGGGAACTTTCAGTTCTGTCAAGTAGGAAGGAGTATTTACTCCATCCAAGGAGGTGTAAATTGTGACGAGAGAGCATGTTAGCTATCAGTTGAGATCTACTAAGTTATTTGATAAGAGATATCGCCGCCATAGTTAGCTCTACCTTTGTCTAGTCGACTAGTTGGTCCATTACTATTAGTTTTATATGATAAACTTCTATTTTATAACTTTAAGCATTTTATACCTATATTACAAGTAATGATAAGAACGCCTATATCATAGTTTATAATTAAATCATACAGTAAAATTTTTATTTAATTTTAGTTCACTTTTGATTTGGGTTTAATAATAAAATGTGACCAACAAAACTTTACTTACTGACCTCTACTTCCAACAGTCGACCAACTATCGACGGTTTGATATAAATTTAAAAAGTCAATACAACAGAGTAATAAGATGCAAGGCAACAGAATATGAGTAGGAGAAGAAAAAGGAGTTGGATTTGAGATCTCCTTTCTTTAACAACCTAAGTTATTGAAACAAATCAGGAGAGAGGTACTGCTGAGTACTGTACTTCCACATGCCTGCCATATAATGTATTTCCAATTCTACTTGAACAACTATAATCAAAAGAGAAATTGATATCTACAAATATTTAAACTTGAAATAATAGCTGGATGTCTTCCACTCCCAAACGATACTCAATGCTTTTTGAGATGTTGACATGCACCGATACAAGACACGAAATCTTTTTACCAGGAGCTGTATGTAATGTGAAAGGCAGCCGATTAATATAACTTTAAATATTCGTAGAATTCATTTCTCTGAAAGATCTGCCAAGATATCCAGATACGTTATCTTAGGTTGGATAACGTTATTAGTGAGAATAGTATAGCTAACCTAATTTACTTCTTCTTTTTGATTTCTTTAATATTTTCTCTTACAGTATGGAAATTAATTACTATTTACCGATATCCTCAGGCTACCTGAGCATGGTGATGGCAGGGGTGGCCATGGTGTGGCCTTCGCCTCTAACCGCCTGGTTCAGCTCAAAGAACAGCGAGGTGCCGATGACCCAAGACGAAGTTTCCTGGATGGTCTCAATCGGCCCTATCGGAGCAGGGCTCTCCTCCATACCCTCTGGTATGCTTGCAGACAGGTAAAAATATTTTATGAAGTAGTTTAATAACAAAATATAAACACTAGTATACCCCTGAGATAACTAAGATTATTTTATAGCTATCCTCCCTAAAGCATCCAAAATATAAGTGACATCAACATGTATATTCGTATAATGTAAATATAATATTGTAAAGATCGTCTGTACACATTTGCTTAATAAATGATTAGCTTGACTCCAGTTTAACTCTTAAGCAATAAGACACAGCTGTCCTTGAGCTTATATTATTAGCTACAATTATTTTACTCACTCAAGACCTTGTTGTTCGATGCATTTTATTTTATTACTTATACATATTCCTGGCTCACAATAAATTTGCCATCTACCTCAGTATTCAGCAAATATGATATCAAGGAGAAGAAATGATAGCATTAAAAAAAGAAATAGTAATAACAAAACAAAAAAAAACAGTAGTAAAATAACACATACATAATAAAAATCACACACACACACACACACAAAAGAAAAGATAATGCAGCAAGTAGCTCAATGGAATAAGTCTCTTGGCCAGCGCCTCAGCAGTCTTCTGGGCGGATTATATGGATTTGTGGCAGTAGATAGAGCTTGAGTAAGTGGATTGGAATTTAGAGTCAGTCTGTCATGAAAATTATTAAAGCGGTCAGTGGCAGTTGCCGTGATGAAAGGAATGTTAAGGTCAGTGTGTAACGTGAGGTTTGAAACATAAAAGGGTGCGTCTACAATTTTTCGAAGGACTTTTGACTGGAATGACTGGATGATTTTTATATTTGATTTCTTTGCTGTTCCCACTAGTTCGATTCCATATTTACAAAGTGATTTAATGACGTCTTTGTAAATAGTTAATTTATTTAATAGTTCGATACATAAAGCCTTGGTTTTTTTTACTATTGTATGAATATAGAAGTTTATAAAACTGGGAGTACAGAAATCAGAGTTTTGGTTATTGATCAAAAATATCAAAACGTTTCTATATTATCGTAAGTTCCCAATATATCATAGAGCTTTTATCCTCCACTCACCTTTTAATATATTTTAATAAAAGATAATAATAAATAGCAATATTTTAATTTTTAAAACCTAAACACGTGATAAGTATCCCAACTGTTGTATATAAAAAGAATTCGCCATGGATCACGGTTAAACTCGAAGACGATGATTTTTTTGGCATGACATCCCGCCTGGATTAGTCGACTTTTTAAACTATATGATTATTAAAATATCTCATTTATATAAAACCATTACTTCTGAATGGAGGAAGATATCTGTACTACCCTGCTAAATATATGTTGTTGTTTTTTTCTCTTAGTACATTCCTTTTTTTTTGTTTCGTACTTGTGTCTATATCTTCTTTTTCTGTTTTATTTTTTTATTTTTAGTTCTCATGATATCACACATGCTTGTGCCAAAACGTCGGGAAACATAATAAACTTTCTCATAATTTTTAAATCAGTCGACAATATATCCATATGTAAAATAAAATAGTTCTATGGACTTGAACATCTCTATTAAACTTGGTTACTTTCTTAAAAAATGTTTTAGTTTCATTTCTCATTCATACAAATTTCATTACTCCTTAGAGCTGCGAAAGAGATTCATACTACTGTTTTATATAGAATGTATTTTTTTTCATTTGTACTTTTCATATTTTTTTTCTTTTTCTCCTATTCCTTGCTTTTATGGCTGTACGTAGTTTTCCTGGTCCTGGAGAGAAGGCGGAGGAACTATTCCAGAATTAAAAGAAGCAGTACTTTCTATATTTTTATCTTGACTTTTTCATGTACTTATGACTCACATGCTTGGTTCGAAACGTCGGTTAGCCTAATAATTATATTTATATGATTAATATAAAATATATTATCAATCTATAAAATATAAATATATTAAATTTTCCAAAGAGATAAATACTTCTATTAAAGGTACACTACTTGCATTATTCAGATACGGGAGGAAACCTGTGCTGCTGTTCACCGGACTGCTCTCCACGATTTGCTGGGCGTTGATCGTCTCTACCAGGACCAAGTGGACACTGTATGGTGCCCAAGTCCTAGGTGGTGTGGTCGTCGGAGGATTGGTCTGTGTGGCTCCCATCTACCTATCCGAGATCTCCCCGCCCGATATACGGGGTGCGATCGTCGGTCAGCTGAGCACTATGTCCTTCGTGGGCCAACTCATCGTCTACGCTGTGGGACCTCACCTAACCTACTCTCATTACATCTGGGTATGCTTCTCCATCCCACTTCTTTTCTTATTAACGTTCCTTATGGCGCCGGAGTCGCCATACTACCTCATGAGCAAGGGGAAGGAACAGGAGGCAAAAGAAAGCATGCTGAAACTGAGGGGTACGGACTACCTAATGGAGGTTGAGACGTCCTACTTCGAACTTCGTAGTAACCAAGATATCCAGCCAGAGAAGTCGTTGTGGGAAACACTGAATCAGGATGGATACGTGAAACATCTAATTTGTCTTGTGGTAAGTATCAATGTATTTTATTTTTCTGTTATTCTACTCCTCTTTCTGGCTAGATTCAATTATACAGTTTAGTTACAAGAGTAGATACTAAATCTTTTTAGTTTTCGCATGACCGGTACTAAAGAGAGGGAAAAGGACACTAAGAGGGGGGGGGGGAGCTGTTAGGATGATGCCACATAAAGTATAAAATTATTTTTTTTAATCTGAGCTAAATACTTAATTTTAAAAATTACGATATGACTACTATTTTTAAATTATAATTAACATACAACTACAAAAAGGAAAACCCTAAAGTTGTTATTACTTTTAGCATTATTTCAAAGGCATTTTAGCATTATTACTTTTACATAATTCTAATACTTTATTTATTTTTCTGTTTTTACACTTTATTTTAAGATTCCCATTTTAATTCTTATGTCACCTTTTTTGATTATGTTTACTTCATCATTCCACACTTTGTACCGCTTATTATCATTTATCTCTTAGCTCTTACTATTGTCATTATTCTAAAAACTGAATTTTACTTTAATTTTTTTACCTACACTACTTATGTTTCTCATACCTTGTTATCTGATTATTTTCTTAGCCTTGATGATGGCCTGAACTTCAGGTCAAAACGTCGGCAAATGTCAAAATAAATAATATCATATATTTTTGCCTTCTTATTTTGACTGATCACCCCAACTATTCTTCTCTTCATTATTCACGACAGTCAACCTTTTACCAATTATTTATTTATTTTTCTTCTTCAGTAGTTATAGTTACATTAAAAAATAAATGAAGCCCTCCCAAAATTTAATCCTAGTACCGTTACTCACTTCGAGCGGCAGGATTTATAGATCACAAATTTGAAACTGAATTTAATTTTGTTCTCTAGTAACCATTGATCACTCCTGTCTTCCTCCCCTCCCCCCTCTGAATCTGATAATGTAAATATTATTTAAATTTCCAAAAATTTGCATTTCAGACTTTTACATTCACATTGTAGATTTCTGTATGAATATGACTAGAACTTCGAATCGATTTTCGCTAATTAAATTCAAATTGACTATTTTAAAGGTAAAACAGTTTTTTTTTTGTGGAAATTTAAAAAAAAAAAATTATCCATAATAAAATCATGTTTTTTTTATGAAGAATGTAATACATACTAAGTACAGAAATATAGACAAATCCCGATTATCAGGTGATGACATAAGCTACACGACAGGGTTGTTATTGAGCAAAAGTTTAGCACTGATTAACAAGCTGGGATTTTATAGTTCAGTTCAGGAATTAACATCATGAAATAGTTACCCACCTGGACATATTTACAATGCAGATGAGACAGGACTTAATTGGTAATGTTTGCTGACACACTCGGATTTGAATTTTTGCATAGAATAAGTATTGTGAGTTAAGGTAACGCATTGGGTGAGAGCAAGCTAAAATTATTTACTGTTGGATAAATTAGAATCGTAAAATAGGAAAATATAAAAACAGGTAACAAGCAAACAAAAATATGGATAAATACTTTTTTTTCATGATTGGTATGAAAAAATATGTTTATATCTCAGTTTTGGGAAAATGTTTCGAAAAAAAAATTCAGACCAGAATTAAAATTATTCAACTAGAAGTATTTCTCATTTGTAAATACCCCCTCCCTTTCCACATTCACAAAGTTCACCGCTCTAACCAAGAGGGGCACCTTAAATTTCGTATCGTTCTGAGCTTTTCAAGATCCCTATTTGTGGTTCAATATTGCTCAATATCACAAACAATCTATTTCAATTTTACTACATAAAATATTTAAAAAATGTGTTTTATCGTTTATTTTAAAATAAATAATTAAGTAATGTCCATGTCTGCTTTAAATATTAGTCCTTTAAGGTTATATGCATTTCCTTTTTTAATATATTGTATTTCCAAGTCAATTTCAACCTTTTCCCAATCAAATTAAACTTTTTCCAAGTCAAATTAAACCTTTTCCAATTCAAACGGAGTGGCGTAATCTTAAAATGGGAGTCATTTTCAAAATCTACGGCTCCGGAAACATATGATCATATCAAACATATCAAATAAATTCGAAAAACTTATGTAAATCGAAATGGAGTGGAGTAATCTTCAAATAGGTGTTAATTTCAAAAACTACTCATACGATAACAGACCCATACATCGAAAAATTAAAAATAAATAAATAAATAAAAAAAAGGTTGAATTTGAAATGGAAAAGGTTTAATTTGAGATGGAAAAGATTGAATTTGACTTCGAAAAAGTTTAATTTGATTTGGAAAAGGTTGAATTTGACTTGGAAAAGGTTGAAATTGACTTGAAAATGCTAAATATTAAAGATATTTTTAACTCGTTTATCATATTATAGCTTTTATTCTTGCTTTTTACAGATCTTGAGTGGTGTAAGCCAGATGGACGGGAACGCGACTGTTTCCGTGTACGGCGAAGAGTTCATCGGAGGACAGTGGGTGATCCTGGCGATGGGGATCGTCTTCGTCGTAACCTCCTTCTTCGCTTCCTTCTTGACAGATCCCTTCGGCCGAAGACCCCTCCTCGTGTCATCCCTCATCGGCTCCGCAGTTTCTACGTCCCTTCTCGCCGCGTACTTCGTAACTCTGAAAGACGGACTTTTATACTCCGGTATGTTCGGTTTCTGCATCATATCTTCAATTGGTATCAACCCCATCATCCTGACATTGCCTTCCGAGCTCTTCCCTACACGTCTGAGAGCTTTGGCTAATGGGCTCACTCAGTTGGTTGCCAGTGTCGTAGCATTTATCACACTGAAGATGTTCGTTCCTATCAATGCTGTCTGGGGCATCGAAGGCAACTTCATAATCTATACTGTTGTGTCTTTGATAGGTGCTGTATCGGCTACTCTCTTGCCAGAAACTGCCAAGACTACCATCAGCTCTAGTTGATTGAAAATCAATTTAAGAAGCTGCTATATTTATTGTGTAAATACTTGTAAATATTTAATATATATACTTAATTATCATATAATTGCACAACAGCAATAAGCTCCTTTAATTAAGTTATTAGATTATTTTTTATTTTAATTGAATTTCTATTTTTGTAGTTTAATGATTCGTTTTCTTGTATTACACAACGATTTTTCGAATCATAACGACACCTGGAAAGCAATGTTAAGATTAATTAGAAAATATTGTATAGATAAAATTTGCAAAATAAAGAAAGTAATATAAACTAAGGTAAATAATAATATTTGAATATTTAATATATTATTTGAATTTAATTATTTATTAATTATATTTATTTAGGAGCATTTAAGAACTTTGTTATTAAATGTAATATTAATATTTTATCTTATCTCATACCAACAAAAATTGTAATTTTTAACTGCAAATGATCATGCTGGCTGGGCTGAATCTTCGTAGAAGTGATAAATTTTATTCGGCACATTTTTATTATATTTGAATTTCATTAAATTTAACCAATAAGTGTTAATGACATCAGTAAATATGTTGATATATTTTTTTTTTTTATCTTAGCTCTTAGCGTTTTAATTGTAAGCCTAAAACATGGATCGAAATCACAAAAAAATAAGGTTTTAATTTTCATAACCACGGTCTGAATTTCTAGTTGTTACGGTTTTTATTTTTATTTATTTTTTTTTTTTTTGTGTGCGAGCGCAAGTTCTTGTTGTGCAGCGGAGAAAAATTGATATATATTGGCATACATTATTTTCATCAACTTGTAACCATCGAATCTTTGTGCAAATCAATGGCTTAGATAAACAACTTTTTTTTTTTAATTAGCCCAAGTTTAATTAATGTATTAGTTTTCAGCTAATTACTTTAATAAGAACAGTTATAACAGAATAATATCATTTTTAATGAATTCGGTTATTTTAAAATATTGAGGAATATAATCTTTTTAAATTGATGTAAAGTTGAATGTTACTGTAAGCGTGGAAGTTACTAGAGTACAAATTTTACCTGTATTATTTTTTTCTTTAAGGTTTTGATAATGTTATTGAATTTTTTTTTAATTATTATTTAATGTTATCTATAATTTAAAATAAAGTATTTAGTATTTTTTATTTTGTTTAAGACACTATTACCCACATCTATGTTTCTTAGGGAACAATAGTTGTAAAGACAAATAAAAAAAAATTCTTTAATCATAAACTTGAATTTTACGAGTTTTTGTCATTACATTAAGATGGTTGTTGGATTCATAATTATGACTCATGAGTATCTTTACTTTAGAATAAAAACATAATGGTCTCTATATTTTCCCTTGACTTCAATAAGGTTGGGTATTACAGATTACTTCACAAACACCAAATTTTACTATTTATTAGACTTGTGTGCTTACAAGGAGAGTTTAAAGTCAAGGGGTTGCAGATTGCAACCAACTGTTCTTCGGTAATTCAAATTCCAAAAATGTTAGACACATGTCCCGTCGTTCTTTTCAATGGGCTGTTATAATCTAGAAAAAAATATTTTATATAATTTCAAACTAAATTTATGTTATTTATTTTTACCTTTGCTTTGCTTTGGTTTTTAGGTTATGGTACACCTATCAATTTCTTATTTTGTGATGTGCCATTAAATACAAAATCAAAAGGTGCTTCCAGGAAATTAGGCCAAGTAATTTTTTGTAATTTAAAAAAATTCGTTGCAGTTTCCTTAAAGACTGTTAAATACAAATGTCTATTTTTTTTTCTTTATTGAGTATTATACTAATCTGTCTCTTGGACACTGGTTATATTGAGGTAGGATGACATTCACACTATATGTACAAAAAAATAAAATAAATAGAACATAATAATAATCAAAGCAAATGTCTATAGAAATAAAAAATTGTAAATTTGATTAGCTGATTTTCGTGATATTTTTTTTCCAAATTCGACTGTAATATAACCGTTGGAAAGCCGAATAACTGCTTGTTCAACCCACATCAATAACATTTACATTTTACTCCATTGAAAGTTAGAAATTAACACAAATTTTTATAATATTTTTATTTTGTGCCTTTGGTTCTAATTCGTTTACAGAAGTTGAGTTTGCACCAATTCGTGTAGCATATGGAGCTCTATTAATTTAATAATTTTCGTGCAAATCGGTGGAGACGTCACGAAGTTATCACGAATTTTCTGGCTGTCGAAAAAATTTTAAAGGGTGTCCAGCCTCGGCCAAAATTTCGTACAGAAAATTTTTGTATTTTAATCGAGATGAAAAATCGTATTCAAGTGTTTTCTCAGGTTCGAAAAACGAGTATCAACTGTTTTTATTACTAAAAAAATAACTGCTATCTAATACATATAATAATAACATCTATCTGGTTTAGATAAAATATTATATTTGACAGATTTTATTCAGGCTTGTGTAAAAAACTAGACTATTCGACATGGCAATGTGGGAGTAATTATGATCTTCATTGGACAGACATTTTGCAGTAAAAATTGGAACTAAACTTTCTCACGTAAAAGGTATTGTATAAATGGCGGGTAGCAGTTGCTGATGTTTTATAATAATAATAATAAGACTAAGTGAACCCGAAGGTTCGATGCAGATACCATCAATCAATGTCCACATTCTTCCATCCACCGGCTAAACCCAACCCCGCCAGATGAGCCTTAACGCAATCTTCCCACCTTCGCTTTAGTCTACCCCTCGGTCGCCTTCCAGTCGGTACAGCGCATATTAACTTTTAGAAATTATTTCCTTACTAAGCCCAACGATTTTATATCCCCATTTTATTTGCCTCAACTTAACTTAACTATATTAATCACTCAATTCAGCGTTCTTTAACAGTATAAATTATCTGGTAGACTTGTCCTTTTTTGGTCCCAATATTCAGCACAATATGTTATTTTAAAAAACCTAAAGACGTTGCTCATCCATTAATGTAAGCGGCCACGTTTCGCATCCATTAAGAACCGTAGGAAGGATAATGATTTTGTAAATTCTAATGTTCAAGTTTCGGGTCAGGAGGCGAGATCTAAGTAGTTTTGACAAAGAAAAATAACAAGCATTTCCCGTCTTCAAACTAAGCTTAATATCCTCTTCAATTTAGTTTTTCTTAGTTATCGTAGACCCTAGATACTTAAAATTCTGTATTAGTTCAAACATTCCCTTCTATATTGATATCATTGAAATTGTCGCTATTTTTGCAGCTAACCATATATTTTGCCTTATCCGTATTTATCTCGAGTGCTAGTTCTTTACTGGCTTTCATCAACGTTGTTGTATTTAGTTTTATTGTTTCCATTCTTCGCTTAACAGTACCAAATTATCAGCATATCCAAGCAGGGTTTGTATTGTTCCACCCAAGATCAAATCTTTTTCGTTATGTATCACCTTTATAATGGCATGTTCCATTAAATAGGACATTATTAAATTCCATACCAAATTAAATAGGACAGGTGAAAAAATTGTTTTAAGGCCGAACGAATCTCAAACGTCTCGAAGAAATAATAATCGATTCCAACTTTATTGAGTGTTTCCGTCAAGCACATCCAAACTAGATTCACTAATTGTTTTGGGATTCCCTGTTCGGTTAGAATAATATACAACGCCTGGCGATCAATGGAATCATAGGCTTTGTTGAAATTTATATAAAGCTGGCGAACAACTAATATTTCAATTAGTTTCTTTCAATTTTACTCTAATATTTGCCGTAAAGAAAATATTTGATCGATAGTAGATCGATTTCGCCTAAATCCGCATTGATAGTCTCCGATAATTTCCTCGACATATTCTGTGATTTGATTAGTTAAGTTAAATTTAAATCTTTTATATGTGTTTTACACATCACAAGGAGTGAAATTCCTCGATAGTTATTACAGTCCGTCCTCAGGCCCTTTATGTGAATCGGAATAAGAATGGATTCTTTCCATTCTTCAGGCAATTTCTCATTCTCCCAGATCTTTCATAACGAAACATGCATTTTATAAACTCCAGCTTCCCAGCATGCCTTAATTAGCTCTTTAGGAATATCATCGGTTCCCGCTGCTTTATAAAATTTTTCCGATAGCTATTTCAACTTCGTCTTTACTTGACTCCTATTAACGGCTCGGCACTCTGATATTCAGAAGGAGGACACACTATTTCTCATATTTAAAATATTGTCAAAGTGTTCTTTAAACTTATTCAATATGTCTACAGGGTCAGTTAGGATATTATTATTTTCATCCCTTATTCCAGTCGTTAAGGGTCCTAAAAATTTACAAGATTTATTTTTATTTTTCTACATGTCTCTTACGTTGCTTTCGATTCTATTATTTTATTTTTAATATACTCCATTTTTTATTTTTGAACATTTTAGAACATTATTTAAGGCTCCGAAGTATTCAAGATTGTTTTAGACTTTTGCTGCTGTTTTAGACTAATCATATAATGTCACTTCTGGTGACAACTTTTAAACCAACCAACAAAAACTGATCTATCACAATGCTTCCAAAACAACAAATAAGGAATGATAGTCGATCATATATTTATCGTTTAAATTAATCTAAAATGTTTTAAAATATCTTTTTTTTTCAAATAATCATCTAATTTTGTATTGTTATTTTCTAGAATTAATTTTTGTAATGGACCAAAAATCTGTGTAAGCATATATGCAATTTTAATGGAAATTGTGTATAATTCTCTCTTTTGTACCCTTTAAATTTATCTATATAATATACTTCCCGAAAAGAAGCTCGAAACAAATTTACGGTGAATGCCGAATTTTATTTGCAAATAATTCAAAATTTATCGACTTATTTCAATAATAAAAATTAAATCCCTAAATCTATTTAAGAAATTTCGTTAATTTTATATTAAAAAATCATGGGAATCGGAAAATTTGGTGCTGTGATTTACAGTACTAAACATTTGGCACATGTATTACAGCAAAGGCGATTTTTATTTTGTTTTATGATGACTGAAACATTTTCATATCTTGGGCACCTTATCTCAATTAAAAGAGAAACTGAAGAAATAATCAGGCCATGTGCCCATGGATGGCGCGCATTCTTCAAATTTAAGGATATATATAGATCCTCGGTGAGCCCAGAGGTCAAGAGAAAACTTTGGATGAGCACAGTACTTCTTGCCATGACATATGGTTGAGAAACATGGGTAATTGACCAGAAGACTTGCCACAAATTGAGGATAACCGTCAGAGGAATGGAGCGATATCTTCTCGGAATAACACGAAGGGATAGAAAAGCGAATTAATGGATCAGAGCTAAGACTGACCTTCCAGATATTGTGGAAAAAGTGTAGTGGACCGGAAAAGTAATCAGGAGGAATGAATTAACATGGACCAGGTAGTTTATGGATTGGTATCCAAGAAAGCACATGAGGAAAAGAGGACGTCCGCCGACAGACTGGGACAAGGAAATGAAGAAGACCTGCGGAGGAGCAGCCTGGAAGAGAGCAGCATTGGAAAGAAAAGAGTGGAAACGGATGGGACAGGTTCATTACCTAGT